GCAGTGCTTGAGTCAGTCGTCCTCATTCTGTTCCCGACCAATGCTCCCCTCTCGGTTTACCTGATGGACGACAACCGACATAGGGTTAGTTGATATAGTGTACTCACCTTCGGGAGTGGCGTTCCCTTTGTCCTGGGCCAGATAAGCGGTCCGGGCCCGGGTCCTCTGCTTCCGATGTCGTGGCTTCCCTGTTTCGGCGTCCCGGCCCGGCGGGCATCCTGGCCAGTCCCTCACCAGGATTAATGGTACGGGGATGTCAGGGATCACGCCTACGTGGAGAGACCAGCTCCCGGTCACGCCCTGGATTGGCACCTCAGCTGTTGGGACTTCCCGGGTGTCCCCATGAACGCAGGTCACAGTGAGGCTTCCCCCTGGTCGGAGTCCGCTGGGGAGGATGGACGGTCGGGCGAGGGTCACCGAACTCCCGGTGTCCAGCAGCACGGTGATCGGCCTCCCTTCAATCCACACCTTCTGGGTGGGCCCCTCCAGCAACTGTCATACATGGAGGGCACAGCCGGCCAGCCAAGGTTTCTGGGTCGGTCCGGGAGGCCCCAGTTCCGGCTCCGTGGGCATGGGCTCGTCGGTGGGCTTTACTTGGGCGGGCGACCTCCGGCGGGTTCGCCAAGTGCCGGCTGGGCGTGGCCGGTCAGACCGGACTCCCGAGGCCCCTAGGGGTAGGTCCGAGGGCTGTGGCTCTTGCGGGTCGAGCTCGAGGGTGGCGGTGGTGCGCTCCAGGGCCGTCAGGAGCTCTTGGGGCGTTCGCGGTGCTTGGACCCCCATGGCCTGTCGTACCATCCGGGGTAATGCCCTCAGGAACCGATCCATAGCCACCTCTTCCGCCACCTCAAGGGCCGTATGCTGGTCTGGCCGGAGCCACCTTTTGGATAGTCGGATGAGGGCGTTCAGCTGCCTGCGGGGCCGCGCCGCCGGCTGATAGACCCAGCGATGGAACTCAGCGGCCGCTTGGGGAGAGCCCGGCCCCACCGCGCCAGGACACCCTCCTTCATGGTGCTGTAGTCCGCCCGCGTCCTCTGGCTCGAGACTGTAATAGGCCTTGCGGGCCTCTCCTGACCTACGGCGCGGGGCCAGTCATCCTTATCCCAGCCCTCGCGGCGGGCGATGGTTTCGAAGGTTTCAAGGTATGCCACCGGGTGGTCATCAGGAGCCAGGGGGGGGAGTAGGCGGCGGAGCTCACGTCCCGGGTCCGGGAGAGGCGTGGAGGCCGCGTGGGACTATAGCGCCTCCAGAGTCTCTGTCGCCGCCTGGAGGCTTTCCGTAAGTTGTTGGGTGACGGCCTGTTGCTATACACTGGTCTGCAACAGCTGCTGTAATGTCTGCTCCATTTTTTTTCTCTCTCTCTCTTCGTCGGAAAAGACAAAAAAAATACTAATAGTCTCTTTTTCTTTTTTTTTTTTTCCTCTCTTCGTCGGAAAAGACAGAAAAAAATACTAATAATAGTCTCTTTTTCTTTTTTTCCTCTCTTCGTCAGAAAAAATACTAATAATAGTCTCTTTTCTTTTTTCCTCTCTTTGTTGGAAAAAAATACTAATAGTCTCTTTTTTTTTTTTTTTTTTTTTGTAGGTAAGGGGCGGTTCTGTGCTCATGCCCGCATCCTCCACCAGTGTAGCGGATGGGCGATGCGACAGAGACGCGGAGGAGGAAGTAGAGCAAAAAAACTCAGGCTTTATTCTTGGTTTGGTAGAGTGTAGGTCCGGGGGCGTGTGTGTAGGTCTCGCGGGGCCGGGCGGGCCCGCGGACGCCGCGGGGCGTGTCGGGGAATCCCGGAAGAAGCCTCGGGGTTCTCCGGCAGTCCCTCAGCGCGCTGCGCCGCTCCTTCGGCCGGGCGCGGTCCTCTTCCGTGTCGGTGCCTTCCGCCGAAGTGTATACCGGGAGAGAGAGAGAGAGAGAGAGAGAGATTAGTCAGCTTTTTAACAGGGAGTACGGGTGAATACCTGTATGAGGATCTCTTTCGGACGCCAACCGTTTCGGTATGTCGGTACTCAACTTTCCCGGGGCGGAAGGGCATCCTTTTATTTCCGCCCTCCGGGTAGCGATTGGTGGAATTCTTCCATCCGAGCCTCCAATCCCCGGATGGTACGGCATCGGTGGGTCCTCCCCGGCATGTCGTCCTTTACGGTTGACGCAAGGCCCACCGCGGGGCTGCCTGCATCGTGCCGGTATGGCAGTTGGAAAAGGAGCGATTCTCTTTACCCTCGCGCCGAGTGTCAGTCCGTCGCGACAATATATATATATACAGTGCCTTGCGAAAGTATTCGGCCCCCTTGAACTTTTCAACCTTTTGCCACATTTCAGGCTTCAAACATAAAGATATAAAATTTTTATTTTTTGTGAAGAATCACCAACAAGTGAGACACAATTGTGAAGTGGAACGAAATCTATTGGATATTTTAAACTTTTTTAGCAAATAAAAAACTGAAAAGTGGTGCGTGCAAAATTATTCGGCTCCTTTACTTTCAGTGCAGCAAACTCACTCCAGAAGTTCAGCGAGGATCTCTGAATGATCCAATGTTGTCCTAAATGACTGATGGTGATAAATAGAATCCACCTGTGTGTAATCAAGTCTCTGTATAAATGCACCTGCTCTGTGATAGTCTCAGGGTTCTGTTGAAAGCGCAGAGAGCATCATGAAGACCAAGGCAGGCAGCAGGCAGGTCCGTAATACTGTTGTGGAGAAGTTTAAAGCCGGATTTGGATACAAAAAGATTTCCCAAGCTTTAAACATCCCAAGGAGCACTGTGCAAGCGATCATTTTGAAATGGAAGGAGAATCAGACCACTGCAAATCTACCAAGACCTGGCCGTCCCTCTAAACGTTCAGCTCAGACAAGGAGAAGACTGATCAGAGATGCAGCCAAGAGGCCCATGATCACTCTGGATGAGCAGCAGAGAACTACAGCTGAGGTGGGAGAGTCTGTCCATAGGACAACAATCAGTCGTACACTGCACAAATCTGGCCTTTATGGAAGAGTGGCAAGAAGAAATCCATTTCTCAAAGATATCCATAAAAAGGCTTGTGGCAAACTTTAGACGAGACCTGCCTGGTCTTCTCAAAATTAGTGAATTGAGAGAAGATGATGGAGGAGAATATTTCTGTGGAGAAGTGGAGGCAAATACAATAAAGGTCACATCTGGAACACGTCTGCAGTTTGAAGGTAAACAGTTTTACTCTGATAACCTGCTAATTCCAGATCAACACTTTAACCAGAATTATGTGTACATATGCATTAAATGTTGAATATTTCACATTATTCATATTTAGTATCATTTCTGTTTATTTGCTGCTTTTCCAATGTATTTGTAAAGGTGAAGAGATGAAACACTCTCCTGCACCTGGAACGGTTAACAACAACACAGATTCTGGTACACTCCAGGGTTCAAACTGCAGCGATGGAGAAGGTAAGAGTTTTGATCAAATAAACTTCCTTTCACTTTCAATAACAGAATTTTCTGTAGTTAAAACCTTTTCCTGTTAATAAATCATCCAATATTTAAAGTTGTTTTCAGTGCTACTCCATTATATATTTCAGCTCCTGATGTTTATTTTTTTTTTAAACAATTTTATTTTTCCATACAGGTTCCAGTTGTACTGATCAGATGCTTGTGCTGGTCTGGCTCTCCATTTGTAGAGTTGGAGTTCTTGCCTTCATGCTTCTTATCTTTCCAATAATCCTGATTCTTTTTAAATTAAGATCAAATTAGAAATTCTGATACAAATGGAAGAAATACTGATTTAAGGAGAAAACAGTGTGTTAGATTTAACTAGAGCTAATTGCTTATATTGTCCGTATATTGGAATGATTTTGGTCTAACTGTAATGTGGAGGTATTTACCAGCCGTACTTACAGCTGCATTTAAGGGCTCCTGAAAGGTGAGGTACAAAATCGTTCTCCCTATTGTCTCTGGGTCTAATCCTGACCATACCACAGACATCCATAGCTGGAAGTCCAAGAGAGCAAAATTGGCTGTGCTCTCGGGGAGGGAGGGACATCCTCTCTCTCCCCTGTCAATAACAGCAACACCAGCCAATCTTGGGCATCTGTGAGTGTGTTATGCTGCCCCCTGATGGTCAGAATTTATAAAAGATGTAGTTATCTGGCTTCAGGTGTCTAAAAGTATTGGCACCCTACACAGGCAACTCTCAAAAGTATTGGCGCCCAATCTGAATTTTGCCACGGCCAGCACCATTCACATTTTATTCAGGAAATGTACCATTCCTCCCAGGTTGGTAGCTGTTGTGTGACAGGGGAGACCTAACTGGAGGTCGGGAACTGGCCATGAATAAATTAAGGAGAAAATCAGGGGGAAAAATTAAAATGCATTTAATTTAATAAAATCTAAAGTGAATGTACAACGCAGTTGTCCTCTTTATTTCTAAAATTTTTCTTCAGAACTTCAAAGAAAACCACACATCTTCACACACATTTTCCACATCACATCATCCACATGTTTGAGAATCCAGGGAGGCGTATTAGACATATCACACACAACTAATTAACAAAATTGTGTCCCACAGTGTGTAATAAAATGAGTCACACTGTAAATGATGTAAAATAAAAATAAAAATTAAACTACATCAGCGAAGTTCATCATAACAAAGTTTGATGTTGATGTTGAAAGCTGTCTGAAAGTTTGAAATTTGAATAACTTTTAACGAATTGATTTGGAAAGAGAAAGTAAGAAAGACACTAGAATGCTAGAATGAATAAGCATATATGGCTAGCATGCTCTATCATGTTTCTAGCATGAATTAACATGTTTCAGGCATCAAATAGCATTTGCTAGCATGAATTAGCATGTTTTAAGACACTGCTTACATGATAGAGCATGTTTTGCTAGCATGTTCCAGCATGGTGCTATCACATTTTAGTACACTGCTAGAATGGACTAGCTGTTGCTAGGATGAATGGGCATGTTGCTTTCATGAATTAGCATGTTGCTAGTATGAATTAGCAGATTCATGTGAACATGAACTATCATGTTGGTAGTGTGGCTTAGTGGTTAGCACATTCGCCTCACACCTCCATTGTCCCAGGTTCAATTCCCGTCGGGGCCATGAGTGTGCAGAGTTTGCATGTCCAGTCCAAAGACATCCATGGTAGGCTGATTGGCGTCTGTGGTGTTTGAATGGGTGTGTGTATGTGATTCTGCCCTGCGAAGGACTGGCACCCTATCCAGGGTGTACCCTCCCTTGTACCTGATGTTCCCTGGGATAGGCTCCAGGTTCCCTGTGACCCTGAAAAGGAGTAAGTAGTAGAAGATGGATTGATGGATGTTTTTCTTTCTCAGACTGTAACTATGCTACCCTGGTAAATTTGTCTAGATAATTAATTAACTCCAGGTCTCTGTCTTCACCTAAAGGTCTAAAGGTTTGTTGTACAATGGAAGGTCAGAGACATGTGTCCAACACAAAAGAAAACACAATAAAATCTTTGGAGTCCCAATCATGGAACCACCTTAGCAAAAGGCTGTAGACTAAAACCGTCAAACTGATGCCCCAAATATGCAGTAATTGTGTCAAGTCTTAAATAATTAACAAGAAAGAGACAAAAAAATACCTCCCCACCCCACACACACAGACACAAACACACAACTATTAAAAAGGGCGGAGAAAGTAACACTTTCAATCACACACATACTCACCCACTGAGTGTTCATCCTGCATACACACTTGAAATAAAGTGTCTAACACAGAACATAAATGGCACACTTATATAGTGCTTTTATCTAAAGCGCTTTACACTGTGTCTCATTTACCCATTCACACACACACACACACACACACACACACACACACCAATGGTAGTAGAGCTGCCATGCCAGGTGCTAACTTGCCATCGGGAGCAACTTGGGGTTCGGTGTCTTGCCCAAGGACACTTTGGTATGTGGAGTCATGTGGGCCGGGAATCGAACCACCAACCGTACAATTAGCGGACTACCCGCCCTACCACCTGAGTCACAGTCGCCCCAGGACATGGAGATCCACCACCTGCTCACAGAGGGAGAGGGAAATTTCTGCTGTATAGCTTCATCTCCTGAAAGAAAAAAAATACAAACACACACAACTGAACATTAATGATTAGAAAAGCATGAGATCAAACACACTAGAGGACTACACCTTCTAAGCCAATCTAAGCCACTGCACAAAAGTGTTGCTCGTCCAAATGCACCACGCAGGCCATAACTCAAGCACTAAAGAAATACAAACAAAACATAAAAAGCAGATGATGTCCAAACAACCAATACTTTTACAAACAGAAATGCAAATCTCACGTTTAAACAAAACATACATACATCTGGTCGGGGGAGATGATACATATTAGAATACTGCCTAGCCATAGATCTTCCAGTTCCGCACACCACCCTATCATCAACACGAAGAGGAATAGATTGTAGTGTCACTACTTCGGACACTGTTGCTTCCCCACACTCCACCACCTCTGGCACCACACCACTAGAGATGAGTTCTGGCTCTGCAGGAACCAACTCAAGCTCGCCTACTGATTATCTCAACCTGTGGTATCTCAGGCACCAATACAAACAAGTCTCCATTCTCGACCTCCTTGTCTGGATGTAAGATTGGCTCTGGCCTGGCCAATTCAGTTGAACTACCGCCAGGGTCCTTACCAGTCTGCAATTTTAATCCTGAACCATGCACTTGCCTTACCTTATTTAAATTATTCACTGGGGTGACAGAATTCACAGACCCACCAGCCTTAGCGGCCTTCACGATCTGGAATACCATTGGACTCCAGAGGCCATGGATCATATGCCGACCTCTCATATTAAAATCCCTACGAAGGACCAACAGGCCCTCCCCTAGTGGTATCTCCCGGACATGTTCATCATGTCGAGCCTTACGACATTCTGCAGCAATATTTAGCTGCTGTCTATCTCCTTCAAAAGCTACCTTATTGTGGTGTTCCAGGACTCACCTATGCACACTGCCGGCTGTGGGTTGCTGAACTCTTCCAAGTTGGAAGTCAACTGGGAGCTGTGGCTCCTGCCCAAACATCTAAAAGTATGATTATTCACCAGCATTTTGATGAGGAATAGTTTTATACAGAAATAACACCTGTGGAAGACAAAGAGGCCAATCTCCCTTCAGGAAAGTTGACAATGATTGCAACAAATCCTGCAGGGCCCAGTTGAAGCACTCACACTGTCCTTTTCTGGCTGGTTGATATGGCAAAGTGTGGGAGTTCTGAACACCATATAGGAGGCAAAGCTGCTGAATAAGATTAACCTCAAAGTTCCAGCACTGATCAGAGTGGATACAACTCGGCACTCTGACCCGACAAAGCCACTTGACATTCTCGATGACAGCCTGAGAGGGTTCCAAGACCATGAAATCAATGGCCAAAATCTCATTTGGCCTAGATACCATTAGGTGTCCGATATAACTATGAGCCAGTGAGGGGCCCTTGGTGCACTGGCACCTTTCACACTCATGGCACCAACAAGCATTGTCAGAAGACATGCCTGGCCAGTTGCATATCTGACCTACCAACTGGGTTGTATTTTCCACAACCTGGTGCCCATGTAGCCAAAATAGTTGGGTTAGAACCTCCCCTTGCAAGGGGGGTTTTTTCCCTTTTTTCAAAGCTTAAAACATTTGGCAGTACAACACACCTTCTTGTTCCACCAGTCAGTCCCACTAATGGAGCATCACAACTACTGGCCTTGCCAAACACTTGCTCCTCACGTGTTGGAAGTGTTTGTTGCCTCCAAAACCTTAACAATTTTTATGGTTGTTGGATCACTCTCCAGTTACCTGGTTCACCAGGGCCACCTGCTCCCACAAGCCACCCGGGCCATCATCTCAGGAACAGCCAACCCTGGAACCAAACCTTGAACCTTCCTTCCCTTACTGGAGGAAATCAACACTCTTCTGTTGGCTGTGGTCAAATGGCTGAGAGGGTTTTTGTCTGTGAACACCACACACTTATTCGCCAACAAATACTCTCAAATGTCTCTATCATGGCCTACTTCAGTGCTAAAAATTCCAACTCCATAAGACTATTGTCATATTGTGCTCAGTGGGCTTTAGTGTACGACTAGCATAAGCTATAGGTCGAAGCTTACCTCCTTGCTCCTGGGATGGATAGAGAGAAATCAGCATAAGCAAGTTCTCGAGCCATGGTGAGTTGCAATGTGAACTCCTCTAAGGTCCACTGGCACTGTGCTGACCACGCCCCAGCAAAATCCTGCCCTGAACATTTCAGACGTGTTGTGCTTGCTAGCTCCACCACCAGCCTGTGCAGGGCAGCAGCCAAGCAGCAAACCCCTCCACAAACCGGCGATAATAGCTAGCAAAACCCAAAAAGGAGTGCACCTCATTCCCACTAGTGGGACGAAACCGCTGAGTCACTGCATCAATCTACTTGGATCCGTAGTGACCCCTTCTGATGATATCACGTGACCGAGGTACCTTAACTCTACACTTTTCCAACTTATCCTTTTATCCCGTTCGCTGCAACACAATATCATCAAGGTACAAAAGAAGAGACTGTCCTTGTTGATGGACCTGTATGATAAGTTCCTGAGAAGGAGTTGGTGGTAAGAAAACGCCAAATGTCTCCCAAGCAAATAGGGGGGGGGGTGCCTGCGTGTGTGTGTGTGTGTGTGTGTGTGTGTGTGTATGTGTGTGTGTGTGTGTTTTTAAGTGTGAACACTGAAAGGATGTGCTGCTACATCTATGAAGAGACTTTGTCAAGCCACAATGCTATTTCTGTTAAACTGAAACCATGTGATGTGACAGAGCGCTGCTGCAGCCAGCAGATTCATTATTTAATTTTGTTATTTCTTATGTTTTTCTTATAATTTTTATGTTATATAATATTCATATATTCTAATGTTTATGTTCACATTACCACAAAGACACAAATAAGCATTAAAGCAGAAGTTTAAAACACTTGTGTGTGTGTGTGTGTGTGTTTGTTCATGCGTGTGTGCAGTGTATCCTAAGAAAACACTCAATATAACTTAATATAAACATAATATAACCATAATATAACTTTTGATAAAACTTTGTCCTGATCTCGTTGGTGGTGGTTTGGACTACACGTAACAATGCACCATATTTCTGGTCCCGAAGTAGCTGCTGCGTGCTACAGAACCACCATCTTGATCAGAACCACTGGATTTATAAAAGTCTAACATCTCTTAAAGCCCTGATAAAGAAAGAATCAAACTCTTTAGTCTATATCTCTCACTTTAAACCACAGTGCTGTTTCCATTAACACTGACACACACTCTCTGGTGTGAGATGAAAACTAGAGGACAAACGTCTCAAACCAAACACCAGCGTGAGGCCATTAAGGTTTTTACCACATCAAAGGTTCTGAAACTGCCGGACTCATAGACTGCAGCAGCACTTTGTCTAAACATTTTGCATGCATAAGTCTAGACATGTTTTACAGCTTCATCATTTAATAATCATATAGTGTGAGAATATTATTTTATTAATACCCTTTCTTTCTTGTCACAAACTTTTTGTGTTTTAAAGTCCTCACCGAGATCGAGCTCAGTCTCTAGCACAGTTTGTACATCAGATTAATCAGAGACATTATCATCAATGAGTTTAATCTTTTTTGCGTTTTAGCCTGAGATTGTAATATAAAGACATTTGAACTGGTGAAGTGACACAAAGTAAGTCCATGTGAGCTGCTGGCTAAAACACTCATCTATCTGAGGCTTGAAACCACAATGCTATTTCTGTTAAACTGAAACCATGTGATGTGACAGAGTGCTGCTGCAGCCAGTAACACTTCTTCACATGCATTAAGAGCGTTTGGCTTGAATACTTGAGTCCACATTTAGAAATGATTCTGCATGGCATGTCATTGTGCAGGAAAACCTGCAAAAGAGAACTCATTCTGATGTAAGAAGATTTTTAGCCATGGAGGCTGATGCTGAGCCAAACTGCTCCAGTGCTGTGAAAGTACACCTCTCCCTTCCCACCTTACACTCTATAACAGTGTACTACATAAAGTTTATCCCAATATGCAGATAATACAAGGTGAAATAAAAACACACACACTTTAATACTGAAAC